ACAATGAATCATGGAACACTTCATCTAAAACTAATGATGTAATGTATGGGGATTAACCTAAGAATAAAAATAAATAAATAAAAAAAATAAAATAAAAGAGCTGCCAACATAGATGGACATTAATTTCAAAGCTTAAGCAGAACTGAAAATACACTGACAGATGAAGCCTATTAAGGAGACTTTGAAACAGTGGCTCCCAGGAGGTAGGAAGACATGCCACATTGAAATACCATTATCCCTGTGGCTAGAGGGCACAGTTCTTCTACTAGAGGATCACTAGGTTTTTCCCTTCTCTTTCAATCACAATATCACTCGGTGTGCAAAGTGTTTTCACACCTGTTTCCTCATTTTTATTTGTTTCTGATCTTCCCATTAACCCCGTGAAATAGGTAGGCCAAGAATTACTTTATTATAACCATCTTACAGATAAGGAAACCAAAACACAAAGAACTTATGTGACTCGTCCAAAGTGAGATTTATCTTCCTTCTCATCTGTCTCAGAAACACATACATTATTACTTCAGAGAACTGACTGGCACCATGCTGGAAATATTTAATATAATTTCCTTATTTTTCCTTCTCAACCTGTTGGCTCTCCATCTCTGCCGATCTTTGCCAACACTGTCTTCCTGATTAAACTGAAGGCAGGGACTATTCCTTCCTCTGTAATTTTACATGCAGTGCCTGGTACTGTGGCCGTTGGCCTCTGAAGGCAAGAACTATCATTTCACATGGACTTAATCAAGACTTCGGAAAGTAATTTAGAAAAGTCAAGTAGGACTTGCAGACCTTAATTTAATAAGCAATGATTAGAGACCATTAGAAACAAAATAGGAACCTGTGTGTATTAGATTAGGTCAATTCTGGAGCCAAGTGAAGTTAGTTAGTTAGTTAGTTAGACCACAGCCAGAATCCAGCTATGTCTCAACACTTCAGCGGCTGGTTTGAGTCACCAGCATCTTTCATTTGGGTTTCTGCAATAGCCTCCTAACAGGTTTCTCTGCTTTGACGCTTGCCCCCTACAGTCTATTTCTAACACAGCAGTTCAGTGATCCTTTCGAAACAAAGCCATCCACCACTCTTCTGCTCAAAACCTTGCAATGGATCCCCATTTCAATCATAATAAAAACCAAAGTCCTTAAAGTAGCTTACGAGGCTCTTGATATAGGCCCGTTACCTTTAGAACTTTCCTCATCTCCAACTGCCCTGTGCTCACTCCATTCCAGTCTCACTGGCCTCCTTGCTTCTCCTCTAAAACTGTAACACGTCCGACACACTCACACCACCTCAGGACCTTTACCCTAGCTGCCCCTTCTGCCTAGATCACTGCTTTCCCAGGTGTGTGCTTAGCTAATCCCCTGCTTCTGTCAAGCCTTGGCTCACTTCTTTTCTCAAGGAAACCAGCTTGTATTGCAGGTTGCCCAGCCACTGCCCACCTACACCGCCAGACTTCGCCCTAACCTTGCTCTGCTTTTAGTTTGTTTTTTTTTTTTAGCACTTACCTCCTTCTAAAATAACAAAGTTGGGGCTCCTGGGTGGCCCAGTCTAAGGTTAAGCACCTGCCTTCAGCTCAAGTCATGATCCCAGGGTCCTGAGATGGAGTCCTACGTCGGGTTCCCTGCTCAGAGGGGAGTCAGCTTCTCCCTCTCCCTCTGCCTGCTGCTCCCCCTGCTTGTGCTCTCTCTCAAATAAACAAAATCTCAGTCCCTGGTACAGAATGGATATTCATTTAAAAATATTTGCTTTGGGGCGTCTGGGTGGCTCAGTCGTTAAGCGCCTGCCTTTGGCTCAGGTCATGATCCCAGGGTCCTGGGATCGAGCCCCTCATTGGACTCCCTGCTCCATGGGAAGCCTGCTTCTCCCTCTCCCACTCCCCCTGCTTGTGTTCCCTCTCTTGCTGTGTCTCTCTCTGTCAAATGAATAAATAAAAAATCTTAAAAAAAAAAAATCTTAAAAAAAAATTTACTTTCTGGGTTGCCTGATGGCTCAGTCAGTTAAATGTCTGACTCTTGGGGCACCTGGGTGGCTCAGTTGGTTGAGCCACTGCCTTCGGCTCAGGTCGTGATCCTGGAGTCCCGGGATCGAGTCCCGCATCGGGCTCCCTGCTCGGCAGGGAGTCTGCTTCTCCCTCTGACCCTCCCCCCTCTCATGTGCTTTCTCTCTGTCATTCTCTCTCTCTCAAATAAATAAATTCTTTAAAAAAAAAAAAAAAGTCGACTCTTGATCTCAGCTCAGGTCTTGGTATCAGGGTCATGAGTTCAAGCCCCATGTTGGCGGCCATGTTGGGTGGAGCCTACTTAAAAAATTTTCTTTCTGAAAGAATGAAATTGAGGAGTGCATGAAGCTGGGTGGTCTCTCCTTCTTCCAGCTCCCTCTGCTTTCCCCAAACCTCTCTCAAAGAAGTTGACTTAAGACTTTATTTAGACAGGGGCGCCTGGGTGGCTCAGTCGTTGGGCGTCTGCTTTCGGCTCAGGTCATGATCCTAGGGTCCTGGGATTGAGCCCTGCGTCGGGCTCCTTGCTCAGCGGGGAGCCTGCTTCTCTCTCTCCCTCTGCCTGCCGCTCTGCCTATCTGTGCTCTCTCTCTCTACGTCTCTGTCAAATAAATAAATAAATACTTTTTTAAAAAAACCAGCTTCTCTAAAGAAGGTCCCAGAAATGTATGTAGTTTGACACTATTAATAATCATTTGCCTCCACACAAGTGAGCTTGTGGCCATTTTGGGGACAGAATGAATTGTACTTGTGTGGTAGGGGATTCCAGCCATTGCATGTATAGATGAACAACGTCTAAAACACCAAGCATCATTACAATGAGGACAACAACCAAGTGCATGCTTTCATCTGCGCTGTTTTTAGGAGATGGCTCTTCCTAAATTGGCCAGGACTCAAATTCTGTAATATTCCAGTTTAGTTTACATCCCAGTTCCCTTGGGAGAAATGTAAATATAAGATTAGTAATAACAAGGGGCGCCTGGGTGGCTCAGTCGTTAAGTGCCTGCCTTCGGCTCAGGTCATGATCCCAGAGTCCTGGGATCGAGCCCTGCATCAGGCTCCCTGCTCCACGGGGAGTCTGCTTCTCCCTCTCCCACTCCCCCTGCTTGTGTTCCCTCTCTCGCTGTGTTTCTCTCTGTCAAATAAGTAAATAAAATCTTTAAAAAAAAAAAAAAAAATTAGTAATAACAAGATGTGTATGAGTGATTTGTCCCCAAGTTTGCCTTTGACCCAAAAGTGATGCCAGTTCACCCTTGTTCCTCCTACTCCCCACTATAGTCAAGAGAATAGGGAAGGTGATTTTCTGATCCCACACAGTGTGTCTGTCCGAGCACAAGGGGAGAGACCCTGAGAGGGTGCTGGTGAAAGATGAATTCAGAACTCCTTGCGCACCCACCTCCTTCCTCCCCTGAAAACAATGCAAGAATCATTCCTACTTGATCATGGCCAATCCCAAATCCCAGGGAAGGTGACTCATTGGGAGGAGGCTGCAAAGGAGGTTAGAGCGAGGCCCACCCCACTCCTGACTCTGAGTGTGAAATGGAAATTCAGCCTATTATCTCTGCATCGGGCTGGGCCCCTATTAGTCTGGGGGAGCTAGAAGAACTTCAAATCAGAGGATCAATCTCTTCCCTCTCTCAAGTTCTCTCTTCTCCCTCTTCTACTCCTCTCTCTCCTTTTAGACACAGATGAGAACCTAAAGAAGAGGCAGAAATGGAGCATTGTGGTCAAATTTCTGATTGCTGTCACCCTGTTGCTCAGTGGAGTCGCCATGATAGTGTTTGTCCTTTTTGAAGTCCCATGCCCTGTAAGTTTGTTGATGTATTGGGTCCCTGGACTGGATCTATAAAGACTTTCTTCTGGGGGCACCTGGGTGGCTCAGATCAAGATCAGTCTTGATCTCAGCTCCGGTCTTGATCTCAGGGTTGTGAGTTCAAGTCCTGTATTGGGCTCCATGTCCAGCATGGAGCCTACTTAAAAAAAAAAAAACATGTTTATAAAGACTTTCTTTTTCTGTTCCAGAGGCAGGCTCACATAATGAAAAAAGCATGGACTTTGGGGTTTGGATAGAACTGCCACTCACACTCAAGCAGAATGGCTTTGAGAAAGTTGTTTGACTTCCCCAACATGAGCTGGCTCATCTGTAAAATGGGACTAATGATATTTGCCTCTCATGGTGTTTTTGAAGGTTAATTAAGATCCTGTGTGAAAGGCACCTGGCACATTGGTGGCGCTTGCTAAATGCAAGTTCCTGCCCTCTGCTGGACTTGGACATTCTTTACGGACGACAGATCCAACGAGATTGAGTGTTTTCTTTAAAAAAGATGATTTTTTTAAAATGGCCTGGCCAAATGCATACCGGCCACCTAAAATTATCACCAGTTACTTTTTCTCTTCGGAGTCAGTGCTGGGGAGCAGAGAGCTATGCCGATGCCAGTGGTTGGGCAGAAGGCAAAGGAAGAAGGCCAGCAACCTGGGGCAGCTGAATCCCAGCTTGAGTCTCAGCCCAAGAAGGAAAGTGGTCTCTGTATGGTCTATGTCATTTGCTTGGAAAAAATGAGGTTAATATATAAGTGCTGGGAGATAGGGAGCTGCTTCACTTACGAAGCAAATGTTGGCGTTTCTTTTATGTGTTAGGAAATAGGGAGGTACTTGTACTACTATTTTATTTTCCTAACATCAGCCCAGCCATAACATAATAGGGTATTTATTGAAAATATATTATTTCTGAGCCCCAGATATAATCATTCAAAATGTCTAGAGTGAGGCCAGGAATCTTATTTTTTAAGATTTTTAACGACCCCCCTAAGCAGAGGTGGATTTATTGTGAAATTAATGAAGCTTAAACTTCAGGACCCATGGGACTTGTATAAAGCTTGTATCTAATTTTGTATTCTTAAAATTCGTATTTTTTTCCTTAAAAAAAGGTACCCCAAATTGTAAGAGTTCAGAACCCACAGCATATGTATCCACCCCTGCCCTCAGGTAACTCTTATATACAACAAAGTTTAGGAACCACCACCCTGAAAAGTTTGAATACTTGGCAAAGTAGCTTCTTTCCACTTGGCCTTTGGTTTTCCTGACAGCATCATAAGCTCATATTGCCCTTTGGTGTCTAAAACAAACACACCACCACTGTTTCAGCACGGCTGCTTTAAATCCAGTTTCCCTGGGGCACCTGGGTGGCTCAGTTGTTAAGCGTCTGCCTTCAGCTCAGGTCATGATCCCAGGGTCCTGGGATCGAGCCCCGCATGGGGCTCCCTGTTCAGCGGGAAGCCTGCTTCTCCCTCTCCCACTCCCCCTGTGTGTTTTCCCTCTCTCGCTGTCTCTCTCTCTGTCAAATAAATAAATAAAATCTTAAAAAAAAAAAAAATTTAAATCCAGTTTCCCTGTCAGAAGTGGACTCAGCCTTTCAATACCAGAAACTGATGTGTGCCTTCTCTACAACATCCACAACACTCACTAAGATGAGGTCTCCAATAATTTTAAAATTAAAGAAGGGGGGGCGCTTGGTTGGTGCAGTTGGTTAAGCGACCGACTCTTGGTTTTGACTCAGCTCATGATCTCAGGGTTGTGAGATCAAGCCCTGTGTTGGGCTCCTCACTCAGCACAGTCAGCCTGAGATTCTTTCCCTTTCTCCCTCTCCCTCCCCCTCTGCTCCTCCCCCCATTTGCACTCTTTCTCTAAAATAAATAAATAAATAAATAAATAAAATCTTTTTAAAAATTAAAGAAGGAATCCACTTTTTCAGAATTAGAACATTGAGAATGGGTCTCAAAGATTATCTAGTCTAGGATGGTACACATGTGTCTACTCTTTAATTCTGTGTCGACTGCACATATCAATAATCAAGCACAGTGCCCTAGAAGCTGAATACGTTCTGGAGCTCTAACACACAAAATAGTGATTATGGTCAACAGTAGTGTATTATATACTTCAAAATTGCTAAGAGACTAGATCCTAAATGTCCTCACCACAAAAAGAACTGGTAATTATTATGACATGATAGAGGTGTTAGGGTGGTAATCATATCGCAATCTATAAATGTATGCAGTTGGGCACCTGGGTGGCTCAGTCGGTTAAGCATCTGCCTTCAGCTCAGGTCATCTCGGGGTCCTAGGATCAAGTTCTGCGTCGGTCTCCCTGCTCAGCGGGGAGTCTGTTCTTCCTCTGCCTCCCCCCCTTCCCTGCTCATGCTAGTTCTCTCTCTCTCAAATAAATAAATAAAATCTTGAAAAAAATGTATGTAGTCAGGACACTATACACAAACTTACACAATGTTCTATGTAAATTATATCTCAATCTTTGAAACTGAAGCACAGCACTCTTTCTATCCAGCTATGGCATCAGAGTATTTCTTATCAGAGAGTATTTATCACAGTTTCTTATGCCAACTTATTTGTCATCTCTGGTCTAGGTTACTATTTTCTTTTTTTTTTAAAGATTTTATTTATTTATTTAAGACAGAAAATGAGAGAGAGCACATGAGAGGGGTTAGGGTCAGAGGCAGAAGCAGACTCCCTGCCGAGCAGGGAGCCCGATGCGGGACTCGATCCCGGGACTCCAGGATCATGACCTGAGCCGAAGGCAGTCGCTTAACCAACTGAGCCACCCAGGCACCCAAGGTTACTATTTTCTATAATCCGGTTTCTGCTAATATTGGATGATGAGCTCATGTAAATTAGTATGATTTAATCATAGGATGTATGTTTAGTTCTTCACTCCAATCTGCATTATCATTTCTACTGAACACTGGAAGAGATAGGCCTGAACGGGAATAAAGAGTCTAGTCCAGAGTTAGAGGTAACCATGTAGTAGCAACACTGATTGAATTCCTCCCATCAACAAAATAAGCTACTAAATGATAAAGGAATTAATAAAAAGAATAATAAGCAATTTTATCTCATTTGAGCCTCACAAAAACTGGGAGGTAGCTAGAGCAGGTATCTACATTTTATTGATACTTAAACTGAAGCTCAGAGAGGTTGTGTGACATACAGCTGGTAGAAATAGAACTGAAATCCAGGTCTTTCATTCCTATACTGAAATTTTACTGAAAACCTTCTATGCACCACGTTCCCTAACTTTAAGAGGGTCACAGTCTATGTTTATAATAGTTAAGCCTTTAGGGGCACCTGGGTGGCTCAGTCGATCGAGCGTCTGCCTTCAGCTCAGAGCATGATCCCGGAGTCCCAGGATCGAGCCCCGCATTGGGCTTCCTGCTCAGCAGAGAGCCTGCTTCTCCTTCTGCCCCTCATCCCACTTGTGGTCTCTCTCTCTCTCACTCTCTCTCTCAAATAAATAAATAAAATCTATAAAAAAAATAGTTAAGCCTTTAGAAAGAACACAGAAAATCTGATGGGATATGGAATGAGATATACCAAGAGTGGAATGGGATTAGTATAAAATATTTGGTCCACAGAGACTCAGATCTCTGTCCCTTTTCAAACATAGTGAGATTGTGTGGGTCTGATTCAAGAAATGAAGTAGAATCCCTGTGCAACTGGGATCCAAAGTAGCCTTTTCCATTCAAGGCAAACGGGTCAAGCAAGGGGTAGATGGGCTCTTTGCTAGTGGGTTATAGGGTCCAACCAATTGTAGGTTCTCATGCATGAATTAATGCACCTTGCTGATACTTTCTGTGTAAATACAATAACTTTTCCTAGAATTGCTGGGTAACAAAGAGGCAAAATGATGTGTACTTGGAATTAAATTGGGTTTTGTACTAAGCCATCTCTGTGCTGGTACATGAAGGAATACCGATTTGCATCCTCTTTACCGCTCATTTCCTTTCAATCTCTAGGTTGGACAAGATGCTCCCAACTCATCAAGCCCAAAGAAAGCTGCAGGGATCACTATCATCCACGAGACATACTTCTGAAAAGCTCTTCTCTGCTTCACATATGGAATGAAGGATACCACACGGTCTTCTCCCTGTCATTAACCAATATTGGCAGGTTCTTGCGAATTCACTCATATCTTCAGCAGGGACAGGACAATCAAACAGTAATGCCAGGCCAATGAAGGGGGAGCCTGGGCTTAGCAGTCAGACTTACCCTCATGCCGCTGCTACTGTCTTAGCCCACACCTCTGAGATTCACTTCATCCCTCACGGAAAACGGGTATCTTTTCATCTCATCAAATGAGAACAAAAAGTCCTCCCTCTGAGCACTATGAATGGACCTATTGCTGTCTTTGACAAAAGGTTTAAACATAGCCTCCAAGTGGCAAAACAGCCACCAGTGTGGCACAGTTCACCAACTCCTCTGTCATCCTCACAGCTGAATTCATGCTCACTGGCTCTCAGCTGGCTTAGGGTGGGGGTTCCTGTCTTCCCAGGCTGATGTTCATAGGGTTTTAAGACTTAGCCTCTGCCCTACATGGAGCTATCCACACACTGGTGAGGGAAACATGACCCTAAGCATTCCAGAAGTCCTTCTTCTAAGTCATCCCCAAAGGGTTTAGGGACTGCATAAAATAGGACACACATAAGGTCTCCTGATGATCCACAACTCTTCAAGCAGGCCTGACATTACACCCTAAACCACAATGCTGAGCTGAATACATTTTGAACAAGGATTCCAGAGCAAAATGATTCTAATGATCTTCCTTACAAAGGCACAGCTCTGAGTCAAGTCTGACCTGCTCAAGTAAGAGTCTGGCAAGGAAGCAGAAACAGTGGATGTTGAAGGGAACAGGTTAAGAAAAGGGAATGGCAGCAGAGATAAGACTGTCATCCTGCTTCTAGTATGAGAGTGTTGAAACCATTCCATTTCATTTTGGCCAGATTTAACTGTCACTAAGTAATTCTGTTTTCTTAGTTCTCGGGTAAAAACCACATACGGATTGTATCCTTCTCTCTTTCACTTCAGGTACTGTCCAAAAAAGTTATTCTCTAAACTATACCAACAGGGGAAAATATCTCACTCCAAGCTCCAATTTATTATTCAAGCTAAGCCTGGAAGAGAGAACAGATACAAAGCATGGAAGATGATAGTTTTGAAAATACAGGAGGTGGAGAGGACAGAGCACTGGGGCTGCCATTTGGATAAATGAGCATATCATTTGCACCCCACACTGATTCACGACATCGCCTCCAGTTTATCCTGGGGCTCAGTCTAAACATTAGATATGGGGAGAAAAAGAAAAAAGCTTGCTCCTTCCCAAGACCACTAGAGAGGATGATTAAAAACATTCTATACTTAGAAACTCTTGGTCTAGGACTGATGCCTACATTCACCCCCACCCTTCCCAGCCTCACCCACCACAGCATGTCCTTTAATCCAGAAACATGAGGTTCCCTAGGAGACGAAAACTGTGGCAAAGTTTACATTTCTTACATCTTCTGCAAGAATATGATCTGGGTAACATTTGTACTGACTTTATAGAAATTCACTGACGGAATCAAAATTGTGTACTTTGCTTTGAGGACAACGTGTTTCCTCTGACACAGCAAGGGTCCTCTGAGGCTTTTCTGACTCCCTAA